CCTTCGCTGCACAGGCGAGCCCTTTTTTCAAATGCGAGTTATAACGGAGTTGCAGAATGTTAGTGTAAAGGAACGGATTTCTAAAACTTATGCATTTTAAATTAGTCACTTAGCAAATGGTCGTTGCTCTTTGTGCTCCTCCTAATCATCTTAATATCCTTTGCTGCTATTTCAGCCGATTCGAGGGCATCAGTGGTAAACAACACACTGTCAATCAAGTATAGTATGCAACATGTTGGTAAGGGGATATTTACACGAATAAAACAGCTTGGAGTTAGAGGGAAAATTTGCTTAAATAAGGACTGCTAACATACGTCCATCCATGTTATAGGTATCGAGACGAAGATGGCAATCATCGTATATCGCGTCCGTCTGCCTAAGACAAGCCAGTCCCGACAACTAGAATTAGAAAGAGAGATAAATATTCATACTAATGACTCTGCAGATACAAATTAATTTTGGTCCCCTCAAAGTACTTCAGTTTCCCCTACAAATTCTACCCATTTTCGACTATGGCCGTTAGCCTAGCTGTCATGCACTGAAGAAAGATAGATGGAGGGCAAAGTTGTCATGCTTATCAGCCATCTAGCAGAAAAGTAGAGTTAATTGAAGCTAATCATTGTAAATTAAGAGACAAGCGAAAAAATCTCTTTCTGCGTTCAAATTTTTTTACGAATCAGTGAACGTCCCTCATCGTTATACATCCCAGCGGTTAATATGACAGCCGTTTGGCGTAATGGTAAAACGCTACCTGACATGGTGGAGAGAGACTGTTTGTATGGACCGTACAATAAAGCATCAACCTGCCAGTGGTACGATATTATTTAAGCTTTTGACACAAAGGCCTGTCATTTTTCGCTGATCGGTGTTCAACTTCGCTCGTGTACTAGTAAATTTTTCTGGCGTAAATTCGAGCATTGGAGTTTACTCCCTGTAACGATGCATTTTGAACTTTCATCCTTTCGCTTGCGTTGGAGCGAATGCAGACATGTGTGGCTTCACCGATTTCTATTCAACTCAAAAGCGATCAGCTCAATTTTGTGGGTTACACTAAAACTGATCTTCTCAAATGCAAATGCTGAATGACTGCACCCATCCCCCCGATATGGGTATCAAAGGTGAAGCGAACTTAACAGCCCGCAGTAGACTAAATTAATAATTGTTCCAAAACCACTTGAAAAGGACAAAGGTCTACCGATAATTAGAATATATTATCCTTATGCTACTATGTAATCAGTAAATAGTCGCACGTTTGCCATTTTCTAAGTGCGTACTAGTCGAAGTGGCAACTGAGATCATTGAGATGTTTAAGTCCTTGCACTCAACGTTTTATCCCAACGGAAAACAGAAAAAAGTTGGTACTCTTTGCACACTCATCTGGCTCTCAGCAGTGGATGCGTACACTGACACACGCTACAGCTTCTAACATTGTACCTTATTTATTCACTGCCTAGTGATATTTGGGAATAAGTTTATGTTGCCACACTCACTAACACCTTTTATTTTAGCCTCTTCTATAAGAATTCACCTAAACTTTGAAAACTAACACTTTACTGCGAAATGTGGTTAAAGTCTAAAAGGCGCTCCGACGGTGAGGATCTCCTTCTCTTCGATGGTTCATTTTCCTAAAAATACCTTCAAAGTCCAAGCAGATTATTTAGAAAAAAGTCGTATTACTATTTCGCTAAAACGAATTCCCTTCTACTGGTAGAGCGTTAAAATTTCACCATAAAGAGGGATCAAGTGAATCCTATTTCGCTCTCACCTCACTATTGGAAATCACCGCCTAGACATCAGACAAGTTGAATGAAGTCGGTGTGGGAAGTGATTAGAGAAAGCGGAGTGGGCAAAAAGTCGATTTAAAGCATTACTTTTTGCTCTCCGTTTGAGTGATGATAATTGAGCTGCTTTCTCACACCCTCTTCCCCTGCGGGGAGGGGATTAATGCTTTACAAAGGTCTGAGATCCATGTCCCGTGTGGGTACGCATCAGAACCTTAAGTAGCTAGCCAGTAAGTTTGTTTAATTTGTGCGCGTTGCGCTTAGCCTAACTTGCCGTCTCGTAGAGCCGCCTCAATTGCCAACTTGATGACGCTGATCAAAATTTGCACTGAGTTATCAATAATGCAGTTGAAATTGTTTTGAACAAATTGTATACGTTTACTGCATTTAGTGACGGCAAACCATCTTCTCATCCAATTGGGAAAACCAAACTTGTAATGATGGATTTGTTTTAAAATGAGAAATATGTTAGCGTGGCTCTGTCTCGCATCTACATTCTGCACTTCCTTCTGAGTCGTCCTTTTACACTAAATGAAACACCTCGGTGAAAAACCCATATTTGAAATGGAAAGGGGCTTCATTTTCTTTAATGTCTTGAACTGGAAACAGTTGGGTTAGGCAATGCCTATGCGATGTCATGAGGAGAAGTCTGCTTATCATTCACTATTCTGTTCATAACGACGACGACATCACAAAGATTGAAGGATGAGAATATCGTATACCTCAGTAACCATTGTCGCTGGATCAGCTTATCAATATTTTAATGGTGTTGAGTAGTTAACTCAAGGTGAACCGTTGCTACACTTACTGACCTGGAGGAGCGTAAGTGAAATAACGCACTAGAAGGATCAAGTAGCCTCCGTACACCAGAGAGAGCTGTACCAATGCATTGAGTGGATTGAACACCAAGGTTGCAATGAGTTAAGAAGCCAATTTATTCCTTTATCCCCGCCATTACGCACAACCTCAAGCCGACACCGTAGCAGATGAGGTGACCCCATTGTCAGCCGCACGGAAGTGCATGTCTGGTACGGGCGGCTGTGCGAAAAGGTATTGAGGGCCAAGGATCAGACGCAGTCTAATTTTGAGTGAAAATAAAAGGCTCACTATCAAGCCTGGCTCTCTGTATCGAAGTTACTACACGCCATTGGAGCCGTGCATTTGCATGTGTGCTTACGGAGGCGTGCTTAGGCGGTGGTAACCAACACACGATATTGTCAGACGCACATATTGGCAGAGCAGCAGTAGGATAGTTTGTTTGTTAAAGAGGTACGCCAACCCAAACACTTTGAGGCTGACTCATGGACTACTAAAGGGTGGAATTCGAAAATACACTGAACAAATACACCGCTTATTTAGTTTGTTCTCATTTGAAATAGACGCTCAGTGCGTTCTCTAGTAGCTTATCCGAAATGCAACAGAATTGCCAAAGCAGTGACATTGTTTATTCCAACACAAATATTCGGAACCGTGTAAGGACAGTTGGCTGGAAAATCTTAAATAAAATTAACTCTTCGATAGCAGAATGCAGAGAGTAAGGGCTGAACCGCTTCATTTGAATCTGTTTATACAAGTTAAGCTTTCTTTGATCGGCCTAAATGAGCGTCTTCGATGAAATCACTTTTGACTGTCATCAACATAAACTCAAATTAATTGCATCACCACAAATCAGGTTGTGTCAAAAACGGCATTATCTCAGTTATCTCGATATAACGTCATTTTTTCAGGTATCAAAACTCTCTTTAAATCATTTCGTTTACAAGCATCTGAGTGACCCGCATTTTGTACTTTCTCTGTAAACAGTGTGAATGGGCTGATGTCAAATCGCCTCAAAGAATAGCTTTGGTAGCTAAGTGCATCCTTTTGCCTGCACAAAGTTAATTCAAAAGTGCTAAAACCATTCAAATTACCATTATTTGAAGTTTACAAATTAAGGCATAGGCAAACTTCTCAGTACACTTTAAAAGTATTTGATGACTGCTTTTTACAGGATAAGTTAAAGCATTCATGCGGCTTTGCACAACGTCTAGACCAAACTCTTTTACGGGTGTCCACTTTAGCTCTTGTTAAGTAATAACACCACTATAGCGCAGGATAACCTTTGCGATTAATGGCTTCGTTTCTTAAAGACAAAAAACTGTAGGATCGCCTCTAGCATCATTTATTATCGTGAACACGGACGACCTTTTATGCATGGTCAGGAGGCGCGGATTGTAGTGTTTTCTCCCCCACAGTAGAAAGCGATTTGTTTTACGTATTTCGAGATATTCGTGAAATAAAACGGTCATATCGCGTTTGAAGTGTAACTTTGAAGCTACTGCATGGAATACTGAAGCTCCAAAGGCCTTTAGAGAACCTCCTTAAGATCAACCTCCTAGCCCTATTCGCAAGTGTGTACATGCTTTGATAAGCTGCTCGGCAAAGTACATGGCGTTCATCTACAATCAAAATACATGAGTGTACAGTGTAAACAAGTCTGAGGCCCGAGAAACTGCAAAAGTACATGCCACCGACGTATAGCCCCATCAAAACAGACTTATCTACTAATTAACGACGAAAAGTAATGATGTTTATCATAAGTATTATTGCTCTAATCGCCTTTCAAAAATGCGGTATTATCAAATACCTATAATTTCATTAGCATTAGTTCCCATCACTCCTAGTAGTTTTATTACTGAAATCTTACTACTGGTGACAAAGATTTGGCAATAAACAGGATGCAAAATATCATCTTTTTAAGGTTCAAGCAGATCGGGACAGGGTAGAGGAGAGTCTGCTATCTACACTGTCCTTCGTCGCAACGGAGGCAGACGCCATTATTGGCCAATCACAGCTGTGATATCTGCGACACGCGCCTCAGGATATCACACAGGATATTAACGCACATACATCTTTCACGAAGCGCGCACATCAAGCAGCCATCTGCCAACCAGAAAACAAGCGCGCTTGAGAGGATAACACTCGAAAACCAGTCTGATATCCTCCTATGCGCTTGATGGCACACCTTTTCTCCCATGCAATCTGAAGTCGCCACTCTGATTGGTGTTTTTAACTATCGCTTTATGATTTGATGCGCGTATCCCTACAGCCAATCAAGCAGCAGTAAGATTGCGTGCGCAGACATACATACGCACGTGCCACTTGCCTTGGTGTGTGTGCATATGTGTACCTTATAGAAAGATTAAGGCCTGCTCACTTTTCATCTCTTCAGAGGCGGACATGTCCACAGTGCCACCGGTGCCTCAGTGGACACACGATCTGTCGAAAATGACTCAAAACGACTTCCAGTCAATTTGTAAGTTGGTGCTGCCTAACGCAGTCGCAAGTGAGGGCAAGCCGACGTCTGAAGGAGTTGATAAGTCGGGCTTTTTAAAATCTCCAGTGATGAAGAGAGAAGATGAATTTTCGTCGCCTCCCAAGACGCTGGGTCGATTTGTGCACTTTCTGCGCTGCTCCATCTGTGGTCTTGAATCAATCAACAAGACCCGCTTCGACAGCCACTTACCATGCAGCCAGAGGGGCAACGCCGACCACCGGTACTACCTGCACACCTGTTCCGCCTGCTTTGCTTGTTCGACTTCTCGGAACCTCATGGACGAACACATCGACCTCTTCCACAAAGGAACTCAGGTATGTATCCATCATTAAGCACTCCTAAATGAGCATTATGTTTTTTCTCCTGAAATGAGTACTTATCACACCTCTCTTTCAAAACAACTTCTGGATGTTATTTAGTGTGCCTCGAGTGAATTTCAGTAACTGGTGTTGAAATTTCGTTTAATGCTTTCTGATGTTATGCTCAACTTTTTAGAACTCTTAACTTACATTCTCAACTCGATGCGAGAGCACGGTGAAACTTAATATTTGCCAAAAATCTGACAAACGTTCTTGCCAATACTCAGTTTAAAAGTTGCTCAAAACTCCAAAAACTATGTTGCGGACCCATTCAGACTCATGAGATTTTAAAATAGATCTCCAGGAGATAACTCACGGTAAGCCTTGCTGTAAGAAAGAGGTCAAGGTTCAAGTTAAATTTTTGCACCCTCAAATGATCGAATGGAGCTCAGTGCCATTCTAGACTTGTCGCCTAGTGTTTTTATCAACGATTGCACTAACAGGCCCTTGATTTTGGCATAATGCATGTTATGATGGATTGTACAAGTCCGCTTACCTCAGTAACCATAGCCACCCAAAATTGGCCTCTATTTTTTTAGACTGTCATTCCTTACCACTTATGGCTACAGTAGACTAACTTAAAGTATTTATCGATGATGATGAATGAGTTTGATCAGCAAGATTGGGTTCTATCTACAGATTTTCGGAAATGTGTTTGAGATAGAGAGACAGCCTTACTTCGTATGAAATTGAAAGATATCTGCAATTGAAACTTTCATGTTTCCACAGTTCTCCAAAGTCTAGTGCATTAGAAGTGTGTATAATTGGTTGACATCTAACTTTGTTCTGAGGCCTGTTCCTTTCGAAGTTACCGGTTACATCCATCTTCTGTTGGATCCCTTTACCACAAAAGTCGATAAAGTCAAATATTCCGATTTGGTTCGACACTTCAGGTCGATTTTTTACCACATAAACAAGTAGAGGTCGTTATTCAGGATGAAGGGGGACGCTTTTATTATAGCCTAATCGGGCGCTTGTGCATGTGCGTTATTCCCGGTCAAGATTGCCTTCGTAAACAGCCGTGTGTATGTGTCGTAGCGGTTGAGCTGGGGTCATGTCAATGACAAGATAAACACAGAATGATTACTCGTCCTGATTAGACGTTAGAAGAATTACGTTGCGCCAGTCCTTTCAGTTAACAGTAAGGTGGCATTTTAGGACGGCTCTTCCATTTCTTTTAGGCGTAATTCACATGGGGAATCTGATCAAAGATTGGAGGTGGAAACAGGTAATCGTAAAAAGACCACTTCTGCAACTGTATCATTCTGTCGCCTTAGATGCTGATGTGAAATATCACGAATCGAATGACATTCCATCCTCCAGTATTTCGGTGCAGGTGGGACAATTTTTGCACTTGATAGAGTGTCCATATTTGTCAAATCTGAAGACTAAAGTATGCCAATTAGGTAGTAAAATCGAAAATGTAGCATAAATGATGAGTCGTATACAACTTCTTTACTCATGCGGCATAATTAAACGGCCAGCATGTGCGGTTTTATGTTCTTGATCTACGAAGCGCCCCTATATTCACAAAAAACATTTTCAGACATTTTTTCATTTAATTAATGTGGAAACGAATTGAAATTCTCTTAATTTTATCGGTAATGCTTTAAAGATCTACTAGTTGAAAATCGTTCTAAAGTAGTGAAGTATTTAATTCGATTTGCTGCCTATGAACCGGAACACTTGGAACTGAAGACCAGCACAAAGTAGGAAAGTCTGGCGTAGATGATGACATTCCTTTCCAATTTTAATGTCCCCGTTACGAAGGAATTGGGCTCCGCGATAAAGGCAATATTATCCATTTTATGAACGTCTTCACCTCTTACTCCTACAACTACGAAGTCGAAGGGTAAGGCGACCCCCGGTCGTACAGGCGGCAGCACGGGCCACTGCATGTATTTATCGTTTTCTTAACCTCACACACATTAAGACAGAGGGGACGAGGGAACTCAATTTTTTATTGTTAAGCCCGTATGCTGCATAATTTGAGCAATTATGAACAGCCACTCAGCCATTGTTAGATGAAGTTGGGTTACACCGCACCTCAATTCACTTCATGACGTTTCCGAATAGAGCTCATGCTACGTAACTCCGTAAAATTACTTATGTTTCCCAAATAAAAATAGATTTATCAAAACGGACAAATAGATTTAGGGGACTGACGTGAAATACAACTCTGCCTTATGTTCAACTAAGAGATCTTTTTATTTGGAATGAAAAAGGTAAACTACATGCAATAGGCATGGAACAACTAATTTGGCCTCACAATTCAATAAAGTTGAAACCGAAAGACTTATTCAAAATCCAACTCCAGTCTCACTAAATGAAGGAGGATTCTACCATGAGAGTATCTTCGAGTTTCACTTTCTGCTCGAGGTAAATCTGTTGGACAGGAAGTTCTCTTCTTACGCTTCCAGACATCTTGGTGCAGGCTAAATTCAAGCCGGTTTATGTCCCCGGAAGTCAAGTAAGGAGACTTAATGAAAGTACTCACATACCGAAATCTAATTTCCGTTCTCGCAGACTACCAGGATATTGGTGAGATAAGTTGATTAAAATGGCAATACAAAGGAGTGTGTGTGTGGCCACAGAGAGATAGATTTTACGTAAACCTCGCCATCGGTCGTGAGTATATGGAGAGAGTTGAAGGAGTGTAGAGATTTGTTACTGTGAACGAAAAATAGGCTGCTGGAAGCCACGCAATTATAGCCGTAAAAGAGCCAACTGCGCACACGTCCGCACGCACGCATACCTCCGTATTACACCTGTGGGAACGGGGATAGGGGGAGGGCATACCACCATCGCCGCGTCATCTCCCCCTCCCCCCCCAGACCCCCCAAGCAGATTGGCAGGGGAACATATGGGCTGAAGTGTCGTCAGATTTCACTTGGCTAGAGGTGAGAGGGGAGACAAAGCTTACAAGTGTTCCGTGACGTACTATAAGCCGACGACGATGTCGACGACAACGAAGGCAGTGGTCCCTATTCAGATCTCAGTCTGCTAGTGTTTTCCCACCACTTCTCTTGAACGTGACAAACGGTTTGCGCACCCACCTGGACCTCTGTATAAATCCAAGATGATTTAGAGCACTACTTTCCATCATAAACGCGTGCACATGCGCATACTCTCTCTCCCTCACGCACACACATACACAGACAGACGACGCATTCAAAGGGATTGCGGTAAACATAAATTGTAGCCTTCGTCCCCAAGACATATATGTGGGAGACCTCCCGGTCGCGCCTTGTCACGACCTCCTACTGAGCACACAAACCCGACTTACCAAATAGCACTCTACCCTTTCATTTTAAACCTTTTTTAGCCTAGTCACACAAGATCTGATCTTGACAATCGGGTAAAAGGGAGTTGCCTAAACTCTTTTTTTAACAGGCTCATGGAAAAGAAAAATTGAACTATGTGGACAGAATTGTGGCATCTATTGGAAATAGGTTGTCATAAAATGACCCTACATTGGGCAGAGCGTGGGGAGGGGACATGATAAAGGTTTGATCATAACATTACACTAAGTTTTGGGGGAGGGGCTGAACCCCCGACCACTGATGCTGGGAGATTAGTCATCTTTCAATTTAGTCCCACAACACACGACTGACTTCGATCACTTCGGCTGATCAGCCCATAATTCGCCTCCGGCAATGATAATTCCCCATGACACGTGTGCCCACTTGAAATACAAATTAAGATTTTCGTGACTAAATTAAGCATAAGTTACTCAATAATTCCTCTCTGTCACCGGTCCTATTTAAAAAACTAAAGATCCTATGGTAAGGCGCGTTAAGATTGTATGACCTCGGAGACTGACACTTCAAGTCCAATCTAGACTATATTTACCTGACGAATGATTTAATCCTAGCGCCTCAGAAGCAGGGAGGGTTATTTTGTACTTGTAAGCCAGAAAAAGAGAGAGGTCCATCGGCTTTTTCTTTTACTATTAAGAACTTGATTGTGGTCCAAATAGAACAAGCGCCAAATGAAAGGTGCAAAAATGACATTTAGCAAAGTCTAGAATCGGCATATTCTACCTTTGAAGATTAAGCATATTTCCCATGTTGAGGGTTAAAGAAGTGGAAATTGTGTAAGTTGTTTAGCCACTGCAGTATGTCATTGAGAGGCACCGATTAATATTGTCCGCTGCTCACTCGGTACCACTGGCTTTTGGGATGTGGCGCCACTTGATTAAAATTTTACACCTCATGGCGCCGTTGCCCGTCACACACATAACCTGCCTTCTACCCAGTCCTCCTCTCCTCTCCGCTTCGCCTCTCCCCTCATCTCACCTCCTCACACATGCGCATCGTTTGCTCGAATAGTGGAGAGGGGAGAGGAGAGAAGGGAGCAGGAGGAGGAGGAGGAGGCGGAGGCTTGTCACTTCTCTCCCTTCCCCTCCCTCCTCCTCCACCCCCCCAAAAAGAACAGTATTTATGCGCCCTACCTTCCGGAGCAACGCTTCCTGAGTTGTTTTTAACCTCTTCAGCTCTGCCTCTCTCCCCACCTTCGCCCGCATACCCCGATGTATGCAATTTAATTAAACATGGCGGCAGGACAGGTGAGGCGGAGTTAGGTTGGGGAGATGGTGGAAGGGAGAGGAGCGTGAAAGAGCTTGGAACAAACTCGAACAAATTTATGCTCACTGGACATTAGCCCACTTGAAAAGCCATAAGCTAATTGGTTAAAGGCAATTCCTGCGTATCATAATGCAACCGATTAAATGAACAGAAAATTGCACAAAAGCATTCCTCAGAACATTCGATATACGCCTTTGATCTTATCAGAGCCATAAAAACCAAATCAAGGTTGTGCTTTTTTACTGTTCATATGTTTCAATGTGAAGACTCAGAGCGTGAGTAAACTCTGTTGGATGGGTGATTAAATAAAAGTAGATAGAGAGGCACCGTTATTAAATAAGATGATGCTAATTTGACTTTTTCACATTTCTAGAGAAAGCAATATGTACACGTGTGGTTTTCTATTGAAATATCATTTATCAAGGGGTTTCGCGGCAGATGGAGGTTGTTAAGTGCGAACGCCTTGGAATACCCCAATTTAATGGTCCTGCCTACAAACCACCAAATTCCTATGGGCAGAAAGTTCACGCGGATGGGCCTTATCGGCAAGGCTGTCTGATTTCAGGCGCTTAATCATCCTCCCGCATGTGTGTTTCCTTTCTGTGGTTTTTCAGTGTGTCCCATTGAGGTTTACACCTGGTCATCGGACCACCGTTATTGTTGAGCCGTCTGAATGCACTACAAGTTGGTAAAGGCATTCGTAAGCCAAAAATGCGAACACATAAAAATTATATTTGATTTGTATAAGGTTATGCCTGAGTGTGTTCTATGCGGTTACTGACGCAATAACCTCATCTGCTACGCATTTAACCGAATCGAGGAGATTGACAGGAAGGATCGTCTTAAAGGTAATAAACGGAATCATATTTGGGTTATCAGAGTCCGTGCTCAAGACTGTGTTGGCAGCTACAGTTTGCGTACAAGTGCACAATCTTTCTGAGAGGAAGGAATACGCTTGCTTTGGGATAACTGCAAGACAGGTAGTGCCAATTTAGAGGATTCCATGTGCTATCTCTTCGCTATTTCTCGCATCAATTGCCATTTCGCCACATTCATGATTTGTCTTGCATTTTGCTGTGTCTGCCCAATTGGAAACCTTCTACACGAATACAGACACGACCTGTATAGTGATGAGTTTATGCAAGCCACAATACATTGTTGATCGCCACTATAGGCGGAGTTGATTAGGACTCAGGAAGTACTCCATCCTGCTGCTCTAACGACGTCAACGTCACCAAGCGTCCTCTCTTCCACTTTGGTTGCTACGACCACCTCAGGTTCGAGTCCCCTCTGTAGGAGACCAAACAGACCCTTCGAGTTCGCTTCAGATGGTTTTAAAAGGAGTGACGACAATGGATGTCTTGACTTGAGAACCAGTGCAACCGCCATTACTACTATGACTGCTGCTGCTGCTGCTGCTGCCGCCTGTACCGTGGCCGGTGAAGAGCAAACGAGAAGTGGAGTCGAGTACCTTAAGAAGTGTCATATCTGCGGTGCAGATTTGGCAGGCAGTGTGGATGCTTTGACGAGACACCTGACTTTTGTGCATTTGATCCCTATGCCTCTGATGCTTGGTCAGTTGGCTGCTATGGCTGTTGGAATGAGGAGCGGGCAAAACAAACTCTCATGCTGCTCTTCCGTCTCT